TTGAGCAACCCTTTGGAAGGCTGAAGAATGCCTCCCGACTCGCCATTTATCAGCACAGAGAAAGAAACTAAGGTAACACAGGACAAAATTAGAGAAACCCATTGGTTGCCAAAACCAAAACACCGGAGCATACCTTCAAGGAAATGCCATTCCACCCAATCATAAGCTTTCTCCATATCAAGCTTGAAGGCCAGAAAGCCAAAACTTCCAGTCCGCTTGGCCTTAAGGTAATGCATGAATTCATGAACAAGGAGCACATTCTCATGGATAACTCTACGGGGCACAAAAGCAGACTGATGGTCCGAGATCAGGATAGCCATAATAGGTCGAAGCCGATTAACTAAGACCTTAGAGAAAATTTTATAAATAACATTACACAAGCTGATAGGCCGAAAATGAGACATAGTCGTAGGATGCTTGATCTTAGGAATAAGAACAATGTTGGTGTGATTTAAGCCCCTGAGCATGCTACTTGATGACAAAAATTCATTAAAACCATTAACCAGATCCCTTTTGACAAACTGCCAATTCTTTTGGAAGAAAAAAGGCGTGAAGCCATCCGGCCCAGGTGCTTTGAAAGGAACTATGGAAAAAATAGCGTCTTTGATTTCATCTTCTGTACCCACCTTCATAAGTTCACCATTCATATCCTCAGAAATCCGGCGTGGGATAAAATGCCAAAGATCAGAAAAATCGACCGATGATTATGAGGAAAAAAGATTTCTAAAGAAGCGTTCGGCCACTCCACGGATTACCTCTTTACTATCAAGCCAATGCCCACTCTCATCTTCAATACCTGAGATCTCATTCTTACGCCTTCTAATTAACGTCTTCCTATAGAAAAAAGAGGAATTCTGATCCCCCAAAGAGAGCCAATTAATTCTCGATTTCTGCATCCAAAAAACCTCCTCATTTCTCCAAGCTTCTGCCAAATCTGTCTCCGTCTGAAAAATTTCGTCCCTATTGAAAGTGGAGAAATTTGACTTTAGATACTCCAGATGAGATTGCAGCTGAGAAATTAGCCGTTGAGAATTGTTTTTCGGCCTATTATGGTTCCAATGTTTAAAGAGGACCTTATAGGAGTGGAGTCTTTCCTTGATGCAAAAAAGCTTCGAACCTTGAACAGGGGAAAACCGGGAATCCTGAATAATTTTCAGACATTCTTGATTTTTAATCCACCGGGCATCAAAATGGAACTGATGTTGTGATGGAGCGACTGAAGCATTAAGATCCAAAATCAGAGCAGCATGATCGGACCCCAAAACGGGGATATGAGAGAGAGCGTAATAAGGGAAAGCTCTAAGCCAGTCTGAAAAACACAAACCTCTGTCCAAACGCACCCAAATAGTGTGGGGACTATCCCTATTATTACACCATGTGTAGGGGAAGCCTTTAAAACCAATATCAATCAGCTTGCATGCGTCAAAAAATCTCTGAAGCTTTTTAACATCCAAGCTTGCAAACGATTACCGCCTTTCTTCTCATCCGGATGGAGCATAGCATTAAAATCCCCAAGGAGTATCCATTTAGAGCTCAGCCTTGCTTGAAGGTGTTGAAAATATTTCCATTGATTTGCTCTAGTCAAGTCGTCACAAGAGGCATAAACGGCAGAAAATGCCCAAGAGCCTTGAGGGACCCCTGCCTTGAACAGACAAGAGACTTGAAAATCTGAAAAATCAACAACTTAGACCTCCAGGTCCCTATCATAAAATAAAGCAAGCCCCCCCGCCGTCCCTCTAGGAGGGATAATAAACAACTCAAAATGACCCAAAAAGCGACAAAGTTTAACAACTTTCTCGTCCTGGTTTTTAGTTTCAAGAAGACAAATTACCTTTAGAGAATGGAAATTAATAAGTCTCCTCAACTGGAAAACTGTCCGGGGGTTCCCCACACCCTGACAGTTCCACACCATAACCTTCATGGAGACGTTGGGGACCACTTAAGGCTGGTTGCCTCCACCGAAAAAGAAGAAGAAACTCCATTGCACTCACCAGATAAGAGAATTGAGGAGTCACCTGGAGCATCTAGACAACCCTTTTTACTTTTGTGCAGAGTAGATTGGGATGGATAATCATCATCAGAAAGCTTTCTTTTGAGAGCACTTGGCCAAGAAATAGGAGAAGAAAGCGCCAGAGAGCGCCGAGCTTGTCTCTTCCAAAATTTCTGAACTGAAAGCCCTTTGGAGGTGAACATCATACTTTCTGTCGAAGGGGGGGGGACATGGAAGTTCTGCAATAGTAATCGCCGTCTTGCCATGGAAAAAAGGCATGCCCTTATGCTTCTGATCATGGGCCTCTTGGTGAAGCGATGTACATAAGGAAATAAAAGACTGAAACTCGAAATGATGGTCTGTGAGAAGGTGAGGTTCAGTGAAAGCCGTTTGGTGGGTCGCCAATAATTGAGATGGGTCGACTTGGGTTGAGAGCGAACTTGAAGGGGTAGGCATGGGCCCAGAAACTGAGCTGGTGGATGAGGCCCATGATGAAGCAGGAACGTAATCCGCAATAAAACAAGAGCTGAAGGAGTTGGTTGGGGTCAACTGATGCTCAACCCTATTGACATGACTTTGCTCACAGAGATCTATCTCCCCACGTGAAGGAACTCCAGGTGCAGAGGGTTGAGAGGGGTCAAACCCACTATTTCCACGTGGGTGATCGGCTGAAGAAGTGACTAGAGGGGTTGGGTCAGACCCATTGGGAACTAGAGAAATGATTGCAGTTTCGTTGATCAACTCCGCTGTCACCGATGGGAGAGCTCCAGTGACCACCGACCGGCGAACATTATGCAAAACCTCTTCGGAAACTATCAGCTTTCCGGCAATATCATCAGCTCGCATGCCTGGTTCAAATGTGTAAAATATTAAAACATCTCCCGCAATTGTTAAAACATTATTTTGTGTAAAATATACTTATAATGTGTAAGATACACATATGAGTAAAATTGTTATTTCCACAACCTTTTTATACCACATCACCATATTTGCTTTCTTCTCTCTCTTTTTTATTCCATTAATGAATCAATACTATATTAAGTAGATTTGTACAAATTATATGGGGACACTTACATTTTTACACAAAAGATATAAAATAATGGCTAGATAAGTAGTCCAAAATATTGGTGTAAATATACTATGACACTTAAGATTTATACAAAAAAATAATAATAATATACATAATAACGACAAATGCTTTGAGTAGAGAATTTTACTGATTTGGTAATTGTCTTAATTATTAAATTTAAAAATTAAAATAGGGTGGGAGTAGTTTTGGGCAAAAGGAAAGAAAATAAGTGAGTTTAAAAATGGGTTGTTAGAAATCTAATCGTCCACGTTTCTTGGTTAATGTATATGTTAGGGTCATTAAAGAGTTTTTTTTTTTTTTTAGTTTATTATTTTTGAAAATAAGTGTCTACAAATTTATGGCAAGTGTTACCGGCTAGCAAGCAAAGATGAAGTCAAAATGAGGAGCCCCCAACACGTTAGAGTGATTTCAAACCCTTTTTTTATTATTATTTTTTATAACGTGCCCTGCCGTACCGGACATCTTACATGACATGTGATGACCCCTTTGCCCTTTGGTTTTCCATTTCTAACTCTTTTATTGCGTAGCCCACACAACAGAACCTGTCCCAGCTTTACTACACCACTTTTGGTAGTTGCATATTGAAAGGACTAACAGACATTCCCCACCTAGTGATAGCGTATCTAAAATCTAAATACACCGTACAATTATGTATATATACACATTCATATACATACATCAAAATCAAAACTCATCTCCACCATCTAGGTCTTGACTCTTGACCTTTTTTTTTTTTTTTTAATGACTAATTTGTCTGAGAATTGATTGTAATATTCTATAATAGTTGTGATATAGACTTCAAGAGTTGATTAAATTGATGTAAGTATTAAATTGATGTAAGTATGGGATGATACAATCAAATTTAATTATATTATATTACGATGACATTATCTTTCATTCATGCAAAATAATATAACGTATATGACTTTTGAATTATGTATTAAAATGCTTAATTGGGACAGAATTATACTAATATATAATAACAAAAAAAAAAAAAAAATTTGTTGTATTCACTCTACAACATTCTGACACTGTAGTAATTAGTCAGAATACGTTTGATTTTAACATCAAATTAATTACAATTATAAAATCTTTTGTAAACAAAAATTTCAAGAGCAGTTCACTAGTATTACGACAGTTATATATTGTCATAAATAAATGTAATGTATTACGACGAATTGTTAACGAGTAGCATTAGATTTTTTCATTCCAACTAACAACGGTCATGTAGTAACCACCATAATTGAATTTTTGTGATAATGTTCTTGAAATTGCGAGCGATTTTGTCTATAAAAATATATCTTTTTGTTGTAGTGTATGTAAAACGTAAAAATTCTTTGACATTTGTGTAATATATATATTTTACTTACTTTGTCAATCTTGAACAGCAAATCTCTCTGTAACATACTTTATCCATTCCAAATTAAGTATTCCTTTTGAAAATTGTGACTCACATAATGTGATTCACAATTCCCGATGACGACACTTAATTTGAAATGGGGAAGTATAAAAGTTTAATTTTCTTAATATTACTTGTTCACCACAAAAAAATAAGTATTTCATGTATGAATAACACGTGCTTGTATTATTGGTCGACAGATTATAAATGCGTGGTCGCCCCCACATCCGATAAACTGCTCGCAACGCGGAGATTCGAGTTATACTCAATATGGTGTATTTATTAATTTTATTTATATAACATATACATATAATTGTAAGGCAAAAAAATATAAAGAAATTTAATAATAATAATATAATAATAATAAAAAGCAAATCTAATATCGTCGTACGCTGCTTTTTGTGCAAGCCATGGGACTGAATCGACCTTTTTGTCAATAATAAAATTTATTTATTTTTTTTTTAAAAAGAGAAAATTAAAACCTTATCTTTCATATTTGAAAGTTCAGAGACATATAAATTCTCCCATAAATGATAAATCTTGCTCATGCCTTAATTATAGTTCTCTCTCTTGGCTTTTTAAGAATACACAAAAATTAGTCTCTGCAAAATTTCATGATTGGAAGGTCCTGCTTATATATATGGTTGTGTATATGTATTTTGTTTCTTCAGTTTGAGTTTATCTGATTGTTTTGCTTTAATCGGTAAGTTTCCGTTGAGAATAAGATCTCTTATGATACAAAATTTTCTGGGTCTTTCAATTTTACGTGTTTCCAAAGTTGAAAGCGTCCCGACAAGTTCTCATAAATCTCTCGGGTTTTTCTTTCTCACAGATTGCGCGAAACAGGGGAGGATTTTCTCGGAATTGTAGGGAGTTACATTTCATTTTCCGGGAAAGTATACTCAAGCATATATGTGTGTGTGTGTGTGTGATCGTACGCGGTTTTAGCGTGGCGGGTTTTGATTCACTCTGCATCGTGGGGACTTTTTGAAGAGGGTTTAATTTTCCGTTGTCACAAATTTTCTTTTTGGGTTTCTGACTGTTTCCGATAAAATTTAGAGACGGGACCAAGTTTTCACCGGAAAAGGGTATTTCTTTTCTATCTGTGATTATAGAGAGAGAAATTGAAGTCTTTTTTCGGTAAATTAGCTGTCTAAACGTCAACAAAATAGAATTCCTCTAGACCCATTTCTCTCTCTCTCTCCGAAGGGAAAAAAAAAAAAAAAAAATCCCGATAGTTTCTCTCTTCCTCTCCATCTCTCTCTATCTCTCTCTGTTTTCCCCTTTTTCTGTGGGCTTTCTCTGTTGCAAGGGTTAGGAGAGAGAACCAGTGAAATCTCTCTCTATCTCTCCCTCTCTCTGAAATCATGATTCTCGACAAAGGGTCAATGCAATCAAACCTCGACTGCTTCCTCGATTGCACAACCCCAGGGGTCCCATCCCATTTCCTACCCAAGGTTTGCTCTTTTCTTCTTTTGATTTTGTTCCTTGTCAAAGAAATTCAATTTTTAATCATGTGTGTGTATATATATATATATATATTATATAATTATTTGTAAATTATGTTTGTTTAATTTTTCTATGATTGCTTTTCTATGTATCCAGAGTGAGATCAGGAACCTTAACAAGTTGTGGCACCCTTGGGAGAAAGAAAAAGTTGAGTATTTTACATTGTCTGATCTTTGGAATGGTTATGATGAATGGAGTGCTTATGGTGCCGGAGTTCCGATTCTTTCCGACGACGGCGAAACCCTAATCCAGTACTATGTGCCTTACCTCTCTGCAATCCAAATCTTTACCAGTAATTCGTCGTTGAATGGTCTAAGGTATAACACTTACATCATTTACTTTTGCATGTTGATATAGTTTAGAGTATTAATTACTAACATGTTGAATTATTGGTAGACTTAGTTCAAGGTCTTGAATTTAGACGTGTTCATTTGATTGTTTCAAACTTAATAAATTGTTTAATTGAATTGTTTAAAGTGCTCATATGGGTTAGTCAGAAGTTGTTGTTCAAGGTCTTGAGCCTAGATATGTTCATTTGATTGGTTCAAAGTTACTAAATTGTTTACTTGAATTGTTTAAAATGCTCAGATGAGGTTAGTCAAGTTTTCCATTTTGGGTGATCAATTTTATATTTGATTGGTGCTAGTGCTCTGTTATTAGTAGTTTTATTGACATGCTAAAGTATTTATAGGGATTGTTTAAACTTTATTGAATTTGGTGCTTATACCCTTTTTTGGCTTGCAACCTCACACCTTGTTGAATTTAATTATTGTTCAATTTAGTTTATGGTATTGAAGTGGCCATATCAATGAAGTTCATAGTAGAATTAAATTTGAATCGGTTCTGTTCTAGGGAAGAGACAGACTCAATTTGTGAGACAAGGGATTCCTTTAGCGATTCGTTTAGTGATGAGAGCGAGAGCGAGAAGCTATCGCGATGGGATGGATGCTCCTCCGAGGAGGGAGGGTTCGAGCAAGAGAGCCTCTATCATATGAATGATAGATTGGGTTACCTTTATTTTCAGTACTTCGAGAGATCAACTCCTTATGGAAGAGTTCCTCTCATGGATAAGGTACTCTCTATCGGTTCATGTTGCTCTACGCACCATTAAAGCTTTGCTTGTAGCTTTCTTATGTTCTTTACTTTCATTAGAATTTCATCCGTATTCGCTTTTTCCTTTTTTATTCCTAAGTTATACTAAAGAATTAATATGGGAAACTGCTATGGATATTGTTAGAATCATTTGAAAGCCTTTTAAGATCTTATGAAACTTTTGACTTTTGAATATGAATCAACATATTACTTTTGTCCATTTTTTTCCTTAAATTATTGGTATTGTCAATTTTAAATCATCTTTATTATATTCTCCCCGTCTTTCCTATCTTTTATCTTTTCCTTTGTTAATGAGTAATTAATTTATTGTTTTTCACAAGCATATGTTCTTGCTTTTGATGCATTGTTGGTTTCTAACTATTTATATTTCGAAAAAGAAAATTCTGATTCTAGTTCTATCTATTTCTTTTAATTTATCTGGGTATGCTTGTGGAAGGATTCCACGTGAAACATGGGCTTTAAGTTTTTGGATGATTGGGACCACTAATTCTACAAATTTCTGCATTTCCTTACCATATGAAATCATGTGAATTCGATTGACTTTGTTTTCGTCTCTTTGCTTTCAGATCAGTGGATTAGCTCGAAGATACCCCGGATTAATGTCTCTAAGAAGCGTAGATCTTTCACCAGCTAGCTGGATGGCAGTTGCCTGGTCTCTCTCTCTCTCTCTCTCTCTCTATGAAATTTATTTGTCGTTTTCAATTTTATGATGCATATATTGTTTCACATCTCCAGTCCTAGTGCTGAGAGTTCAACATCTTGAAGACTTAAACAAATTTTACTTCCATGTACCGGTTTTGTAGAAACTTATTTTGTATTTATTGTAAACGAATGGCTGCAATTTCTTTAAATGCATATTATTGCGAATAATCAGAAGAAAGGAATAAAGATGGTATAACTAATTTGATTGATGTCAATAACATTCAGGTACCCCATTTATCATATTCCCATGGGAAGAACCATAAAGGACTTGTCCACATGCTTCCTTACATACCACACCCTTTCATCTTCTTTTCAAGGTATTCTCTTGGTTCATTTCACTTTTAAGCTTTGCCTATATTCTTTTTCATTTTCACCTTTGTTGTCATTTATCGTTTTCCGGAAATTTTTGTATGTGCGTTATATGCTCAACTAAACATGCATCGTCAATGTCTGTATCAATTACCAGATATGGACCTTGAAGATGAGATGGGGAGTGCCGAAAGGAAGCGAAAGGAAGGGGAAAGCATTTCACTCCCTCCATTTGGTCTGGCCACTTATAAGATGCAAGGGAATGTGTGGGTCTCGAGCAAGAGTGGTAGGGACCAAGAGAGGCTGGTGTCGCTACTGAGCGTGGCAGATTCGTGGCTCAAGCAGCTGAGGGTTCAACACCATGACTTTGATTACTTCACCGGGATTCGGCGTGGCTGAAAACCACACAACTTTCAGGATTTGCTCAAACCGCACCTAATGGATTGACTGGTCGAATGCTTTTTTCAGCCCTCTTATGAGTGAGGATTGTAGGTGATATTTCTCTTTGTCAGGCTCTGCTGATGGGATTTTCTAGTGCCTAGCCCATTTTGTTGGATTTTGTCTTTCATCACAGAGCAGATTTCTGAACTTTACCGGGAAAATATATATATATATATATATATATAGATTTCAGAGTGGAGGGAGTGGACTCTGTTGTGTTAGCCCATGAGGCTCGTAAATCGTAAATGAATTGCATGTGTTGCATTTTCAATGTAATGAGTGATGCGTTCTCCGTATACATGTCGGTCGTGTGTGTTGCTTTGATTCACTTCGAAAGTAATGCACAGGGGCTTGGAATGAAAAATATCTTCATGTGCATGGACTGATTAAATGCTGAAGTATAATCGATCAATGGCACAGATAATTGTAACATGTATATGATATCACTGAAAAAGAAAGACACAAACCCATCTCTTAAAACAGGCATTTTCAATGTAACCAGTGTTATGTTCTCGAAATAACTGTTGTGTAGATCGATAGTTATAAACTAGATAATTAGTTGATAATACCGAAACGCGGAGACCCTACTATAACATCACACATGCACATCCAATCTTCATTGACTTATGGGAAGATAAGTTTGACGTTTGAGTGCAGACCCCATGTTATCCACTTTGAAAATTGGTCCTCAGATGACATCTTATTCAGACAAAGAACATCACCATTGATCCCAAAATAGGGCAACCACTAACCATATGCAGAATTAGGAGTGCACCCACCTAAGCCATTAATTGTTGCAATGGTTGTATAGCACTCACAACTCATCTTTCATTTCATAATTTTTTTTTAATAAATTATCCATCCAATTGTCATCAAAACACCATTTTTTTAATAGAAAGCGTATTATCCCAACATTAAATTTATTATGTAGTAGTGCGTGCTGATTTGTCAAACTCAAACAAGGAAAAACAGTCATTCCAATTTTGAACCAATAATTATTAAGGTGTTATTATCATCTAATTTAAGTTTGAGCTTGTGTCATCACCACTTTGTGATATAACTGGGGTTACTATTAATCCTCAATAGTCAAAAGGCCAATGATCGACCCTCACACACACACCTATTAGTACCAACTTCTAACACTACGTCATTCAAAGTTGTTCGGACTTTTTAATGACAAATAATTTCTCTTTATTTATAAATTCATTAAAAGCCGGGATTTTCTTTAATTGTGGAATGTGGAGCTCCATTACAAAAAATAAATTTTAATATTAAATCAACTTTTATTTTCATAATAATTGTTTGAATTTTTGAAAAAATAAATATTTTCATAAAAGTACAAAGATATTCCATATTATATTGTTATAACATCTATTCTCTATATAAAATTGACTAAATCGAGAAAAAAAAAAAAAAAAAAAAAAAAAAGAAGAAGTAGAAGAAGAAATTACACATAGATCAAAGAATTTTGGATTCCACAAACATATAATTGTTTTTTCAAATATTTTAAATAGTTTGATAAATTGGACCAGTTTAGGGTTCTTTCACTTTCTTTTATATCACAAAGTTAAAACACAAGAAGTAGCAATCACTTTCCCTCTTTTCCCCCTCATTTTCTTTTTCTTTGAAACTTGTCACCACCTTTTTAGATTGCCCCTTGCTTTAAGCCTTTAACCTTGGAGGGTTTAATTATTAAAAATAAGAATAGTGATATCCACACCGAACATTTATAGTGAATTATCTTACTAAATAATTTTTAATTAACTATTTATACCAAATACAACTAAGTGGAGGCTTCATTTCCCTAAAAATAAATAAAACAAAAAAATTTGAAAATTTAAATATTCCTCATTATTTTTTAAAATGCAATGAGGTAATTAACCTCATTCATAAATTCATAACCATATGACACAATTAACTTTTGGGAAAAAACAAATCACATGACTCAATAGTTGTCTCCTTATATGTAAGGAAAAACCTCCTTTATGACTTGTCTATGTTATAAATTGGACCACACTAAATTTTATTAAGGTCAGTTTGATGGGGTAACTATTTTGTTATATTACTTTTTATTTTTTTATTTATTTTTATATTACATATTCCAAAGGACACATGTCACATTAATACAGTTAACACATCAATACAATGTGGGAATTATTACTTTTAGGCTATTACTATTTATTAATTAATGCACAAAGGAAAATGTTAGGTTAGCAAAATTTTCTAACAGAATACTTTTAATTGGTAAATATATTCCGAATATAAAAAATGTGACCTCCTACTTTCTTATCTTTTACATTAATGATTATTGGGTCAAAGAATTCGGCCAATTATAAATGCTTCTTTTTATTTTTCTCTTAAACTAAATGCTCATTTCAAATTAGAGTTTCAGTAAAGTTATTTTAGGTTGGTAGGAGTTGATGTTATCATAAAACATTAATGGCATCTAATAATATACATATTCTTAACAACTCTAAAAATGGACAGTGTTACACATTTCCAATTAAAATTTGAGAAGTGATCTTGCATTTGATGTGACGATAGTTAAATAAACATTAATGTCCTTTATTGTAATACATATTACACTTAATTCTTGTATGCATTTGTGTTTCTTATTTTAGCAAACTAATCCGATTGTTAATTGAATAAAAAAGAAATATCGAACAATTACTCTATATCTTTTGCGCACTCTATATTTTTCAACTACTCTATATCTTTGTTGACTATAAAAAGAAAATAATCAAATAAAAAAATAATTATAATTTTTTTTAAGTGAATTATGTAAATTAGGATTCTTAGTCACAAAAAAAAAGTTACGTAACTTAGGGTTCTTATTAACAAGAAAGAACACACTTATTCATGGTAAAATTGCAGCATAATTAGCTTTTCTTTTGGGAGTAGGAGAGAGAAACTCTCACTCAAATTTTCTTTTAGGAGCAAATTTCCTTTTTCTTTTTTCTTTAATGGATTCTTATATTTCCTTTTGGGAGTTGCCGTGGCAATCATACACACTTAGTTTTAGATTTTTACTTAAACAAAATGTGTGCGGTGTATGTATATATATATAAGCTATGTATAATTAATCATGAAAAGAATTGAAAGATATGTAAATAATTCTTAATGAAACTACAATTTCAAAATTTAGGATTATGTTTGTATTTCTTCTGCATAGTTAAGGCTTAAGATTATGAATGATTACTCAAAAAAAAAATTAAGGCACCTATAAACAAATTAGTCATGGACAATTGTATGATTCACATGTAGCGGATGATTATTTTGATGGGCTTCAACGTTGACTTCTGTGATGACTATGGTAGAGGAAGGCTCTGGATCTTTATAATTTCGGAAAGAAAATATTGAGAGAGAGAGAGAAACTAACCGAAAAAAGAGGAGAAAGTGACGTGAGGGGGAGAAATACAACCTGGTATTTACCATTTGTGAAACAATTTTGAATATTTTTTCGTGCAGTTTAGCACTACTCTTGTTTTAAATACGGCAAATAAGCAACAATTACATAATTCAAGATAAAATCACAGATCAAAATTAGTGAAGTATAACATTTTCCCTCCAAAATAGGATCACTTTTATTAAATTGGACTGTGACAAACAAATGCTTTTTGAACACACTAACAGATAAATAAAAAATAAAATAAAATAAAATAAAATAAATTGCAGTAGCGTGATAGAACCAAAATACTTGTCACTTGACAGCATTAAGTAGGTTTCTCTTTTTTCATGCATTTATTATTGAAAAAAAAAATTCAATTTGCAGATCCAGCAATGCAAAGCCATTCATTCTGGAAGATCTTGTCGCACACCAAATTGGGATTTATGGCACTGAAGAATTCGGCTGTGAGATTGAACTTTTGTGTGACGCTGAAGCATGTGTCGCCAATTTCTGCCCCATAAATCGTTGTACAATCCGGAGCTGGCTTTCCGAACCCAACTGCACAATCACACAACATAAAAATAATGTATAAATATATGTGAACATATATATATAGCAATGTAATAATTGTATATGTATTTGTTGTACGTTGTAATGTCAAAACTTACTGCCAAGATTAATTCTGCTCTCCGCCATGGAAATTATGAGTAGGAAAGAGAGAAATAGGAGAATGTTAAAGAAGATGGCTGTTTTGTGGTTTGTCTGAGCCATGCTGCCACTTTTATATATATATATATATATATATATATATATGTCGTCTACTAAAATAAAATTGGTGACTGAACTGAATTTGTTATTGGTTTATCAAGTTTACTGAAATTTGTGATATTTATAGTGAGAATGTCTAGAAAGGGAACAAAATATGAGACAAGAGATCGATGTTATCCGAGTGTTTCACGAGGTGGTCGGCTTCCTTGTGAATTGACACAACAATTAGAGTGAATAATGTGAAGCATAGGATCGGCGCTATGCTTGCTGTGCTTGTGAAACAAAATAAAATTGTTAAATCAAATATGATATTATTTGGAAAAAGTGACTCCGTTTGTTTCGAAGTAAAATATATTTTTTTAGTAATATATATATATATATATATATATATTAATTTTTAGTATTTGATAAAGGTCTAAGTCGAGGTTGAGGACCTGAGGTTGATAAATAAGTTATTTTTATTAAATTTTAATAATTTTTTTTGTATATAAATATTTTACGACAATCAAATTCCAAAAAATACAAAAAAATATTTTACGCTCAAACAAATGGAGCCTAATTTGTAAATCATGTAAAGTATGATTTTATGGGCATTCGTAGTGACTGAGGGGGTCGAAGACCAAGAAGTGAGTTATTTATACCATACATTCTTCTTACGGCTAGATCCAATTTCCTAGTCCCTACAGAAAGGAAAAAGAATTTAACGCTCTTCCTTTCGAAGGGAGGATTAGGAAAATCCTATTGATTGTAACTTTCTCCAGACCTCCGGTAAAAGCATTTCGCATCGAGAAAAAGAAACCGCAGGAACGAAGTACTTAACAGAAACATCTTCTTATTGGACCTTTTGAATAACAGTCAAGAAGATCTTATGAAAATGAAGGATTCGCATAGAAGATGTAAAGAGATATTGGACATTCTAGAAAAGTGATTCGCAACCGATTTACTGAAAAATAAGTTTTAAATCCAATGGGTTTATTTCTTCTTCTGTTTTTTTTAGATGAAAATGGATTTTGAATCTTTAGCACAATCTATATATTCGGAATAGAAGGGGCAGAGGGAATTTTCGGTGGAGCGGTGAAATGTGTAGAGATCGGAAAGAACACCAACGACGAAAACACTCTGCTGGGCCGTCCGTTTGATATCCAAAAACTGCTCAGCAACAGTCGGACAAGTGGGAAATGTTGGGGTGAACCAGAAAAGTTTGGATGGAGCCGGATCTAAACGTTGGCTAAGTAAGCGTCCTGTAATAAGAGGAGTAGTTATGAACCCTGTAGACCATCCCCATGGGGGAGGTGAAGGGAGGGCCCTAATTGGTAGAATAAAAAAAACCCAACTAACGAGGAGATCTTGGCGGAATTACCACATATGAAATTGAGCACAATTTTGCAAAGAAATAGCCCACTTGCTTCTCGAGAAGAGATGGGAAAAAGATATTTAAAAAAATGATATATTAGTATTTTATGCTCTATTAGATTTTTTTGGTGAAAATAACATAATTACTCCTTTAAAATGTGGAACTAAATATTATTTTCATAATAATCACAGAATAAAACTGTGTTTTTGTTTTTAAAGAAAAAATAAACACAATAAAATCATGAGAATACATTTGTAAATTATATGAATGTAATTTCTTAGTTCCCCTCTTTCATGTACAGTATTTTCTTTTATTTTTTAAAGAAATATGTTGGGCGACACGATGGTCTTAGATTTAAACTCTCGAAACCAGCTTCTTGGGCTTTATAGTTGAGTTTGAGAAAGCCGGACTTGGGCTTTTTAGTTGAGTTTGAGCAAGCCAGACTCAGCCCAGCTTAAATGTGGGACGACAATGACAAATTCAAAGAGTGGATCAAAGCTTCCCAAATTGTCATGCATTGTTTGACAGCATTGAATTGGAGTTTGAATTATTTATTTTTTTAAATCTTGAATTAAATTTTCTATAATTTCAATTTCAAGACACTGATTGCAAAGAAGATCATCATTTTTGATAATAAGGTAAATATTGCTAACTCATTGAATGAATGTCTTGTTTTAAAAAATGATTATTTTGAAATTGAATTGCAAACTGCACAATCAAGAGTTTTTATAATTGTCTACAGTGAAATTGAAATGAATGAGAAATATCTCCTATCACATTTCTCTCTTCTACCATATGATGCTCAATTCGATCATTCAGAGCATCACATCCCAACCGATTTTAAATTAAAAAAAAAAACTATCGTACTTTGAAAAAATAAAGACAGATGTTAATCAATTGACGTGGAGTGTTTTAAACCATTTAGTTGAAGATTGTAAACACAAGGTCAGTACCAAATATTTCAATATGAACAGCCTTAGACACTTGAACAAACCTTTGGAGCATGGAAAGAGCAGCTTGAATTTGAAATTAGAGGACGACATACATTGCGTATATTGATAATATGATTGATTCTGATATTAATAGACAAAAGAAATAAAATTTTAAAATCTAAAAAGTATGAATTAATGGGCTCAGTGAAAATTATTATTAAACACTAGCAATGTATGAACAATACTAGCACAAATGTTTTTATTATAATCACAAGTGCAAAAACATGGATTACAGAGCAATTCACTACATATTCTCTGTATAAATCAACGCCAAACATTTGCTTTTAAGCCTAGCTTTAAACATGTTATAAAAACATTTATTATAACCATAACAATATATATTACCAAGTCACTCTGGGTAAGCTTCAATGATTGACAGAAAAGCTGGAATTTTGATGATGTTGTAACGTAAAAATCCTCCATTTTCGAGTACTTTCTTCCATTCAAGCTCAGTCCTTTCCTTCCCACCGGAGGTGTGTGCAATCATCAGTAGATCAAACACAAATCCTGCGTTGTCAAATAAGCTATCACCTTCTGGCTGTAGAACCAGTTCAACAATGATCACTTTTCCGGTTTTTTCCGGTATTGCTTTCCGGCAATTTTTCAAGATCTTGGCACAATCTTCGTCACTCCAATCGTGCAATATCCACTGCATTGCCAAATTATTGTGGGACGTGGTCGGTAAGTAAGTTTAATGTTTAAGAACAATGTTAAGTTGATTACATTGTTATAAAACTTGGTCAAGATACAACTTTTGTTTTTTTGTTTTTCTTTTTTTTCAAAATAAGAAAACAACATGTTGACGTGCATGGATAGAATTTTCACTAGTCAAGACGTACAAAGTCAAAATAGTCTCAACCACGTCACCCAATAGAAGTTAGCTCTCCTAAAGAGAATTAAAAGGGATCTTGGATGAGAGGATGGAAAATTATGTAAGTCCATTAAAAAGGACCCAGCTTGGGGAAAGAAAGGAAAGTCCAAACAGAGGCAAACTCCTTATTATTACCATTAAATGTTCAACTACCGCTCATCTAATAAGTTAAATTTCATTTATTGAGAGTCACACCTATTTAGTGTGCGTTACCTGACAACATGGTTAAAAGTTAATGATAAACTGTGGGCTTGCTAACCAAAGTCGCCCCAAAGCTTATTTTAAAACGACCATTAAAATATTTCTTTGTAAAAAAATTAAAAATTTATCCAAAATTTAAACCTCAACTAATCATAAATTAAAGTCAAATAACGATTGAAAAAGTACCTGATTAAGTTTAACTTTAAAACACCTAGACATACACCTAAACAAATAACTTTAAAACACCTAGACAAATAACTTTAAAGTCATAAATGATCCGGAATAACTGATTAAGTTAAGCCACAACGGCTGTAATTAACAAAGCCCTCAATTGTGTGATTTTTATCAAATTACCCTTTCTCACCAGTGAGCAATGACCTTAGTACTTGAGGCTATAAATTGAGGGAGTATGGAATCATTGAAGGTAAAACTCATAGTTATGGAATTCATAAATTGGTCTCTTTGCCCTCCCTGTAATTGGTATGACTTTCCCCAACCCTCACCCAACTCCTTTGACTATCACTTTTCTGTATGTGAACAAACAGCAAGTAATATATCTGCAAACATATGTATAATTATATATGTATATATAATATAATATGCATGCAAATGTATGAGTAGCAATTTGTTCCATACCTTCATGAAGACTGCATCAGCATTAGGAATACCCCTGAACATGTCGCCCCCCACATGTGAAACTCCATTTTGATCAGGTGCGGTCGCAACTACATGTGGCAAATCAAAGTTAATACCCTTGATATGCGGGTGGGCCCTCACAATCTCTGCCATCGCTGCGCCGGTCCCACCACCCACATCCACCAGGGATCCCAGACAACCGAACCCGTCTTTATAGCCTGAGATGATGGCTCTCAACAAGATCTTGGCCGTACATTGCATGCCATCGTTAAACATCTTGTTCAATTCAGGATTGACCGATGCAAAGTCCCATATCCCACGGCCATGAGCCTTTTCGAACGCAAAACCGCCTTCTTTCACGCAGCCACTAAGATGATGCCACGGTGCCAATAGCAGCGGATGGTTTTCCATCAGCAGCATTGGAGCCAGGCTTATCTCTGCATCGTGTAACAGCCACATGGAGGAATTGGTTAGTCCGTAGAGGGCGTCTGCGCCGTCCGATTGAGAGGTGACGGTGAAGATCTTCTTTCGTACTAGCAATCTCATGATACGCGCGAGGCAGGTGATATCCGGAGACGTAGAGTCAATGGATGTGGCAATTTGGGACAAGGTGATTGGACAGCCATGAGAGTGTATAATATCAGCTATGCGGAGCTCCACAGCACATTTCAAAGCCATAGAGTCTGCAAAGTTAAACATGTATTGCCATATCTCTGCCTGCCCTTGTAGCATGCCCTGCTCATCAACTGCTTCATGCGATCCCATTCTCTCTCTCTAAAAAGCCAAAGTTAACCAATTATTAATAGCTCCTCTCTAAAAAAGCCAAAGTAAAACCAAATATTAAGAGAAAATCCTGGCACGTATTTATATTACATTAAGCTGGAAGTCACGTCAACTTTTTCTTTTTCTATTTGTTTTTTTCTTTTAAGATTTTGTACAACATGTCCATTATTATTATAATTATTATTATTTAAACATACATGTCCCCTTTTTATAATAATTGTAATTTTGAATTGGAACAAACAAATCTCATCCAAAGATACGACATTGACAATTCTCTGATTAATTTAAAACATGACAATTTTTTATTTTTATTTTTGAATTTTAAGATTATGTATATATAACATTTGCTCTATATAATAATTATTGTACTTTTGAATTGGAACAAACATTGATTCACCAAACATATCTCATCAAAGATTCGACATTTGATTAACACCGTGCACATAACACAATAACTTGATTGACACTACCCCATTTTAAAATTCCAAATTAGATATGGTATGACATGTCAAAATCTTTGCAATTATGAATCAACCTTCCTAAGGTTTGGAATTTGAAAATTTTGCGGAAACAATTTTCTGAATTGAAAATCCAAAACTCTACAAAAATAATGCTGTTTTTAGAATTATAAACTTACGAACAAAGCATGCCCACATTTTCCTAGTTCAAAGAGTTTCTCTAATGAAAAGACTTCTAATGTTTTTTTCCCATTATTTTCTTTTAAATATTACACAAGCTTTTTTGTTTTATGTTTTATTTGGTTAGGTAAAAACAGTTAGAAAAGAAAGTAAAAAGAAAAATTTTAAATTTTTTAAAAGTTTGGATAAATAGAAAAAGAAAACTAATGTAAAATTTAGTTTCTATAGATTATTTTCCCTCAAAATTTACCCCGCAAAAAACACAGGAAAATTTTGTTTTCATGTGAAAGAAAAGCTTATTTATTTGTAATTCCTATTTTACTCAGTACCTTAATTGTATAAAGTTCCCTCCAAAATAACTTCTATTCTGATGTAAACTTCTATTTTAAAGTAAGTTCATAAGGTAAATTATATAATTATATATACAGAATATCAATGATCATTTGAGTACTGTTCTATATTGTAATTCTAGCCACTTATGCTCCGGTATGAATATATATATATATGGTGAAATATTTGATTTTTCTCCCAAACAGTAATATTACCTCTTCATCTCTAATTTTTTTTTTTAATTTGTTTATCTTAGACTAATACTAATTAGTTTTATCTAAAAAAATATTATGAAGCCTTATTCTAAATATAAATAATAAAAATGAATATAAACAATTATATATTTGAATTTAATAATCCATCATTTTCCTTTATAACAGTAGTTTTGGTATGCATAATCATTTTCTTTTCACTTTCATGCTATCCAAACTAACATACTAATATTTTTTAACAATTTTGTCAGATAATGTTTCATACTAATCAAATGCATGCTAGAAAATCTCTTTTTTTGTTATTCACTTCATTTTTCTTTCACTTTCTATTTCTTTTCTTTTTTATCTTATTTCCATCTAACCGAGAAGAGCTTTTTAAAAGAAAAAAAAAATGTTTGTTACAAAGAAAGATTGGAGATTATATGACAAATATTTTTTTGTCATTGCAATGTTACTCTTAAAGGATATGAAACTATTATTTTTAATGTTGTAAAATCATGTCATTTTAATGGAATGGGATCCTCATGTTTCAAAGTGTAAGTAAATCAAAATACTCTTGTTAAATTAAGATAAGGGTTTATTGTTATAATGATCAAAACTAATGATCTATGTGACTCTTGAAACAAAAATAAAGGGAGGAGTTTAAAGAAAATTAGTAAAGAATGAAAAATATTACAATTTTTGTTCTAGATTGTGTACCAATCGAATTCTTATATTTGAGTACCATGAAAGATACTGTGAAAACAAAAAAGAAACGATACGGTTATGGAAAACTGAAAAGGTAAGGAAAAGAGTTAGAAAAGACAGAAAAATTGACTTATTTTATGAAAATAAACAAAATTAGTAATGATATTTATTTAAGTTGAAATTTTATAATAACACGTCATATATATATATATGGCATGTGCCCTTATTGAAATTTTTTATTATTACATTTTACATCTCTAAATTTATATATTTTTTGCATTTATACTTATAAAATTTTGAAATTGCCCCTACTGAAATTATTAAAAAACTTCTCTATATAAATTTGCTCCCCTCATATAAATTTTTAAATCCATCCCTGATTAAGGGTAAGTTATTGTTTTCAAATTGCTCAGGGGATTAGTTGCATTGCTACGTACAAAATCATAAAAGTGGATATTAATTTTTTTTTTTAAACCTAATATATACTTTAAAAAAAAAATGACAATTGATTTGAACTTAACCTAAATCAGCTACGCAAATTCCCTTGGCTCCCTTAGGGGAAAACGGTGCTCAAATTTGCGTGAGAATAAATTTAATGATGAATGTAACTTCACCACATCAATCCTTTTAGTTATCACCCACACATTTTTGTTTGGGATACCAGACACGTAGGAATCAAAGCCTACCAAAACTTGTTATAGGATTAGGATTTAGGTGTACAAAAAGGACAATTTTTTTTCTATCACATTGTCTCTTTAAAGAGACAATGGGACCAACTTCTAATGTGATGTATTTGACAAGACTTATTCTACCACGTAAGTACACAGAGCAGAGTTGGAGCTCAAAGCGCCAAATTTGTATCACAGAGTTGGAGCGAAAGCGCGTGAAGGAAAGAGGAGGAGAATGCGCAAAACTTATGACGTCCGTTTAAAAGAATTATGTGACTAAGTGTAGTACAAGTACTTATAAAGAGAATTCTCACCTTAAATCACATAATCTTTCTCAACGGATGTCGTTGTCACGCTCTGAACGCGGTTCTGTTTTTGCTTTTACGCTCTACGCATGTTCTTACTTCCATTTTCACTATTTATGACTTAATTTTATTGCTTTCGCGCTTTTGCTCCCACTCCAATTTCCTGTGACTTAATTCTCACCTAATACCGCGATATTGTTAGTTCAGAATAACCTCAAATGGACAAGAAAAAGTGAGGGCTTTAGGGCTACTGTCTTTGGTAGAAAAGGTCATTTTGGACTCAAATGTAGTTGGATAAAAAAGACGAGTGAAGAGGGGTGAGTTGGGTTTTGGGCTTACGGGGACAGTGGTCTATCTTGTTAACTTGCAAGATGTGAGAGGTGGGCCCATTTTGGGCCATGTCAGTATGACACTACTAACTTGTGGATGCTATTCGATTCAGGCTCACATGCTTATGTGGGCAGGTTGGCCCAACAAGTTGTCAAGTCTAATACGTTGTTAGAGCCCTGTGTGGGCCTATAGTATGGAATAGGCTTAGGCCTGCAAATTTATGGTTTCAAAATTCTAAAATATATGAGGTTCTAGGAAATACCTTTTTTTGGACAAATTAGGGGGAGAGGGACTCGAACAAGGCATGGGAGTTAGGTGCTCTACCAACTAAGTCACTAGGTAATGCTCATGATTTTATCTCTTAAGTGGCCTTACAAAGTGAGTTTTTGATTGCCAAAGGTTCTAAGTAGCTTTTTCCTAATTACTCATGTTTTTGTTGTTATCCTGAAAGCTTTATTTGGTTATATGGAATCAATTAGAAAAGAAAGAAAAGACAAATTTTTTAATTTTTTTTTGGAATTTGGAGAGAAAAAAAGAGAAACGTATAAGAAAATTTAATTTGTCGCACTTGCCTATTTTCCCCTAAAATTTTTCTTGCATAAAACACGCGAAAATAATATTTTAACGTACAACTTGTTTAGTGGTTTCTTTCTTTATTTTTTTACTGGTTTCTTTGTGTGCATGAGCCATAAACTATTATGTATACACATAGGAGGCTCATCTAACCCCCCCTTTTTTTTTTCCCAATATTTATCTGATCTAATATTTGATAATAATATACTTGGCAACAACAATATATATGTTTATTGAAAAAAAAAAAACATATAATCAATTTTTTTTTTTTTAAGTTTCGTTTTTCTTAAAGTAATAATTAGTTCTACCTAAAAAAATATTATGAGGTCTTATTTTAAATATAAATAATAGAAATAAATATTAAACAATTATATTATTAAATAAAATAATCCATCATTTTATAATTTTTTTTTACTAAAGATGGATATCATCAAACACAAATTGATTTATTATTTTTAGAATTTGAAATAAATAAGGGTAGTTTTGGTATGTATAATTACTTTCTTTTCCCTTTCACACTATTCAAGTTATCTAATTAATATTTTTTGACAATTTTCTTATATAAATTTTTATGCTAACCAAACCACATTCTAGAAAATTATTTTTCTTTTCATTCACTCCACTTTCTTTTCATTTTATATTTCTTACTTATTTCCATCTAACAAAATGTGGCCTCAATATCCTATATAGACCCTTTTTTATTTCATTACTTTCCTTTCACTAATGGCCATCCAACTTAGTAACAATAGTATTTTACTTTACCATTGAAAGATTTGCCATTAGAAGGACAAAATGAATCTTTTATCCATTTTGTGCTATTGACATCAGTATATTTTGTTTGCCTTCATTAGATGTTTTAATAGTAAGGGAAAATCTGTTACATAAAATAATTTCAAATAAGGTAAGTATGATTATGATACGAAAAAAAAAAATCTATGTAAAATGTTGACAAACTTCGAGGGAGGTAAATGAAATTGATCCAAAACTGTGTTTCTTTTTTAAATAAAAAATAAACACAATAAAATCATGAGAATACTTTTGTAAATTATATGAATGTAATTTCTTTGTTCCCCTCTTTCATGTACAGTATTTTCTTATATTTTTTAAAGATATATATTGGGCCACACGATGGTCTATATTTAAACTCTTGAAACCAGTTTGGGCTTATAGTTGAGTTTGAGAAAGCCGGACTTGGGTTTTTTAGTTGAGTTTGAGCAAGCCAGACTCAGCCCAACTTAAATGTGGGACGACAATAACAAATTCAAAGAGTGGATCAAAGCTTCCCAAATTGTCATGCTTTGTTTTGAAGCAGAATTGGAGTTTGAATCAGAATCCTAATTATTTTTGTTTATAGCTCGAACTAAATTTCCTATAATTTCAATTTTAAAATTTTCTATAATTTCAATTTTAAGGCACTGATTGCAACTGAGAGTTTTTATAATAGTCTACGGTGAAATTGATGATTCAGGGCATCACACGCCAACTTATTTTTAATTTTTATTTTTTATTTTTTTGAAAAACACTATCTTACTTTGAAAAAATAAAGACAGATGTAATCAATTGACGTGGAGTGTTTAAAACCATTTAGTTGAAGATTGTAAACACAACTTCAGGACCAAATATATCAATATGAACAGCCTTAGAGACTTGTACAAACCTTTGGAGCATGGAATGAGCAGCTTGAATTTAAAATTAGAAAACGACGTACATTGCTCTATGTAAATATGATTGATTCTGATATTAATAGACAAAAGAAATAAAATTCTAAAATTTAAAAACTATGAATTAATGGGGTTAGTGAAAATTATTATTAAACACTACCAATGTATGAACAGTACTAGCACAAATGTTTTTATTATAATCACAAGTGCAAAAACATGGTACAGAGCAATTCACTACATATTCTCTGTAGAAATCAACGCCAAACATTTGCTTTTAAGCCTAGCTTTAAATATGTTATAAAAACATTTATCATAACCATAACAATATTACTAAGTCACTATTAGTAAGCTTCAATGATTGACACAAAAGCTGGAATTTTGATGATGTTGTAGCGTAAAAATCCTCCATTTTCGAGTACTTTCTTCCATTCAAGCTCAGTCCTTTCCTTCCCACCGGAGGAATGTGCAATCATCAGTAGATCAAACACAAACCCTGTGTTGTCAAATAAGCTAGCTATAACCTTCTGGCTGAAGAACCAGTTCAACAATGATCACCTTTCCGGTTTTTTCTGGTATGCTTTCCGGCAATTTTTCAAGATCTTGGCACAATCTTCGTCACTCCAATCGTGCAATATCCACTGCATTGCCAAATAATTGTGGGACGTGGTTGGTAAGCAAGTTTAACGTTTAAGAACAATGTAAAGTTGATTATATTGTTATAAAACTTGCTAAAGATAAAACATTTTTTTTTTTTCAAAATAAGAAAACATGTTGATGTGCATAGAATTTTCATTTGTCAAGATTTACAAAGTCAAAATCGTCTCAACCACGTCAACCAAAAGAAGTTAGATCTCCTCTTGGATGAGAGGATGGGAAATTAGAGTAGTGGCAGTAAAAATGGACCCAAGGTCAACCACCACTAATTTGATAAGTCAAATTTCATTTAATGAGTAAAAATGGACCCAACTTAGGGAAGCAGATTGAAAGGAAAGTCTAAACGAAAGCATTAAATGGTCAACCACCGTTAATTTGATAAGTCAAATTTCATTTAATGAGAGTCGTGCCAATTTATCAGCTCATCTGATAAACCAAATTTCATTTAATGAAAGTCACGCCTATTATTTATCCGCTTATTTGATAAACCAAATTTCATTTAACGAGAAAGAGCGTATGTTGACCTGACAACATAGGACTGTGTGGATTTTATCAGATTACCAGTAATGACCTTAGTACTTCAGCCTATAAATTGAGGGAGTATCTATGGAAGCATTGAAGCCTTCGAAGGTAAAACTCAAAAGTTATGGAATTCATAAATTGGTGTCTTTGACCTCCCTGTAATTTGGTACGACTTTCCCCAACCCTCACTCAACTTCTTTAAATTGGTCTGTTTTCCTCTCCTTTGATTATCACTTTTCTGTATGTCAACAAACAGCCAGTAATATATGTGCAAACATATGAATAATTGTATATGTATATAAAATATGCATGCAAATGTACGTATGAGTAGCAATTTGTTCCATACCTTCATGAAGACTGCATCAGCATTAGGAATATCGTTGAACATGTCGCCTCCCACTCTCTCTCTCTCTCTCTCTAAAAAAAAAAAGCCAAGGTTAACCAACATGTCCTTTTTTTATTATTTTTTTAAACATTTCCCTTTTTATAATAATTGTAATTTTGAATTGGAACAAACATATCTCATCCAAAGATACGAAAATTGACAATTTTCTGATTAATGTAAAACATGCCAATTTTTTATTTTTATTTTTGAATTTTAAGATTATGTATATATATATCATTTGCTCTATATAATATAATTGTACTTTTGAATTGGAAAAGCGCATTGATTTATCAAACGTATCTCATCAATGATTCGACATTTGTTTAACACCGTGCAAATAACCCAACAACTTGATTGACACGTCCCCATTTTTAAAGTCCAAATTAGATATGGTATGACATATCTAAATCTTTGCAATTATGAATCAGTGTTGCTAAGGTTTGGAATTTGTGGTCATGGCAATGGAGACGGTTTTTGGTGGGTGTAACTTCTCGTCTTTGTTTAGATTATTCTAACTCGTGTTCGCCTAAAATTGGCCAAACGTAGTGTCCTGTCATTTTTTTCCGGTCTCGGCTTGTTCATTTTTTTATTTTATGATGGTTCAAAATACATGTCATTTTCTTAAAAATGTACAACTTTTTATAAAATTTTTAGGGAAAATTACATATAAATGGAGTTAAAGTTTCATATTTACTTAAAGACTGAGTCAAAGTTCCATATTTCTCTAAAATGGATTGCTGAGGTGGCACATGATTTTTTACTGTTTAGAAAATTGTGGTGCCTAAAATGCCCTTCCCTAACAAAAACAGTAGTACCTTCAGTTCAAAAAAGTAGTACCTTCGAAGAAAAAGTAGTACCTTCGCGGGTGTTTAAAAAACATGGTACCTGGACACCAAAAATACCTTCAGTTAAAAAAAGTAATACCTTCGAAGAAAAAGTAGTACCTTCGCGGAAGGGTATTTTAGGCACCACAATTTCTAAACAGTAAAAAACCATGTGCCACCTCAGCAATCCATTTTAGAGAAATATGAAAATTTGACTCAGCCTCTAAGTAAATATGGAACTTTGACTCCATTTATACGTAATTTTCCCATTATAATATATATATATATATATTCACATATATATATATATAATCTAATATTTATATGTATATAATGAGACGAGCTTTCTTCATGAACATAAACGAGCCTAAATGAACTCGTGTTCATAAGCCTATATGAACCGAGCCCAACTTTATTCAAGCTCGACTCATTTACTAAACGAGTCTATAAATTATGCTCAAACTCGGCTCGTTTACTTAGCAAACAAGTTTGAGCTGAGCTCTTAGCAAGTCGAACCCAAAATGTTAATGAACAGCTCGGTTCATTTGCAGCCCTGCACTTACCCTGCCCTACCCTATTTACTCTCAAATGTTTTCCCTTTTTTTATTTTTATCCGCAAACACAATTATACAACCATACAAAAAACATTATCAATAATGGTTTAACATAAATTTCAAATTATAAATATTTTATAATAGTTTATACTATTTTATATCTACATTATATGAGGGTAGTATAGTAAGATTAAGCCTCAACGAGACGGGCTGACTCCCTCCCACACTTCCCATAAAATCCATCCCCGCCCAAATTCTTTAAGCAATTTCCCTAAAATCAATTTAAACGAGGTTTAAATTCACGGACTCATTGTCACCCCTATCAATACCCAACTTTATAAATGCATTGATAGTGACTCATTATCTACAGTTTCAGTTGTCGGATTATTTCACCTCAATCAATTAAAATTAAATGACTACACCTAGTACCTGCTCAAATGTTAGGCACAACGAATCCTTTTTACCACAAATAGAGGTTTTGTAATTTAAACTTTCTTTTTTTTTCTTTTTTAATTGATACCCATATACATTTATCTTTTACGTGACTTCAACTTTTGACCTCTCTTTAAAAAATTAGAGGCTGATACCGTTAGACTAAACTTGGGTAGCGGGCAATGAACATCCCTATCTCTATAAGTATGCAATTAGAATATATATACCTCTATAAGTTTTTTAAAATCTCCAATTTTTATTTTTGGTGCGAAAATGGGCTGTTGCCAATAGAGCTTAAAAAAACTATAGTGTTCTTATGTATTTGGAAGAAAAAAAAAAAAAAAAATGAAAGAAAAAAATATATAAAATGACCAAATCACCCGACCAAAAGCAAAGTGATTTGTTTACATATAAAATGGTATAAGGGCATTTTGGAGAGAACAAAATGGCAGCTTAGAGAATTTGTTACTCAATATAGACATGTGCAACGCACATGGCTACTTAAATGTGATTTTCTGACCTATTATACTAATTAAGATCTTATTTATCCATTTTTTTAAAATTAACGAACTTATATATCCAAAATAAAAATTAAAAAGTGTTATGTGGCAAAATTTTAAACATTAGAAGTGTTTTTCTCACGTTAGCTTTTCAACTTTATCCAAACTACATTATTTTGATGTATCAATGTGATGGTGTTAGAATTCTTGCATCATGTGATGTGGCTCTTTGATTTAATAATTTTGGTTCATCTTGATTTAAGGTGTTTGGTGTGCATCAAAATGACATTGTTTTGATGAATTTTTAATACGTATTTATAACAGGGGATCAGGATTAGGTAAATCGCATAGTCATTATGATGTGTCAATTTATTTAGGGGTCGTGATAGATGAGCCGATGATTTTGGCCGATTAGCTTGACAGAATACACATGGCAGTACAGGTAAGCAATATTTTTTTTTTTTGGTTTTTTTGGGTAAAGTGGATTCCCTCTTTTTCCTTTTTTCTCTCTCCTCTCTTTTTATCGTTAAGGAATCATCGCACACAATTCACAGTTCACTACCGAGCTCCCTCTTGCTCACTGGCTGCCGATTCAATCCAGCTGAGCTCACCGCCGCAATTCTTCATCACGGTTGAGCCCTCCACCGTCCGAGCTCGCCGTCGCCATCTCTCCATCATCTGAGCTCTCTGCCATCGCTCTATCACAGCCAGCCCATCGCCACCACTAGTCAGATCATCCTCAACCGAGCCTAAGTTCATCCTCGCCGAACTCACCACCGAGAGGCTCACAACCAAGCTTCTCCTTGCTTGCCGACCGCCATCATCCAAAGCAGCAAGCTCACGGCCGAGTCATCCAGGACCAAGCCATCCACAGACAAGCATTCCATCGGCCGAGTTCTCCACATCCAAGACCGTCTTCATCCTCGCCGTCCATCTCACCGTCATCCCACCCTTCGTCGGAATAGCGACTTCTCTAGTCGCTGTTGTCGCCGCCATTAGGCCATTCCTCCATCGTCGCCAGTGGGGTCTTCTTTTGCTCACGGTCATTCCATCCCTACTACCGACCGTCTGCTCATTACCATCACCACATCACCGAGGTTGCCATCCTCCAAGTTCTCTGCACCACCTTGCTCCATGGTCCGTCACCACTGTTGCACCGCCGTTCCGTACTCTCTACACCATCTTTGCTTACCAATCCATTCGGTCTTCGTCCTCGCCGGACTCTGTGTAGCAAACTTGTCCCGCCGATCTCACAGACCCAACCAATAAGGAAAAAATGGGTTAGTTAGAAAGAGAAAGAGAAAGAGAAAGAAGAGAGATGGGAGAGAAATTGAGGGAAAAAAAATCTGGACAGCCACGTGTTTCTGCCTAGCAAATTTGCCAAAATCATCGGCCCAAATATCATTTTCCTTTATTTATTTGTTTTTTCTAGCATATAAATCACAAACTCACATTGTCTTGTGCCAAAACTTGAAGCATCAGCAGCTCACTTTGAAATCTAGAAGAAATAAAACTAAATTACAATTCTTGGTGTGTGACAAATTTGTCCATGTAAATTTTGCTTTAGCTTCTGACCAACCCATTAGGTCATTTAATCCACTGTGATTTCCTAATTCCAGCAAAAGAGCAATGGTAATGGATAAATGTTTAGAAATTAAGCTATAACTTAATTAATCATCTACTGGCAGTGAAGAGAGTAACACAGTTCTTCAACTGTTGTACAAATTAGGGTAACACTAAGTCCACTTAAGTTTACAAATTTCAGTCCTAAAACCTCCAAAAATTGGGTATATTACCCCAAATTTAAAAACCCAAAAAACAGATATTCCTTCTATCTAATTAGACCTCAAGAAGCCTTATGCTTGGGCTACCCACATTCATTGCAAAAATGTCTAAATCAAAAGCAAAAAAATGTGTGGCTTTCAAAGAAAAGCTAATAAGAAAAGCTACTGGTACAAGAGGTTGTAAGCTGGTAGATCTTGTATTCGATGAACGTCTTCTAAAGATAGTTCTCTCTCTAATTGCATTCGCGTTGCTTGCAGAACCTCCTGAACAAAAGGAATTGGTAGTTCAGTTCATTACAATGTCTGGTATGGAGAAATTCAATTCAACCATGTACAATGACACAACTCAGAAACCTAAAAATATCCAGCTCTATCAATAATTCGGAAATTTGAAATAAATAAAACATTTTTAAAATTGAAAATTTGAGAAGACAGTGCTCAGCATCAACATACAGCAAGAACGTCAACAAATAATTGAGGGCAAAAGAACCGTAAAACAAATAATAGATCGCTGTTGCCATTGAATTATTTAATATAATTCAAGAGCCACTAGCAACATTTGTGATGCTCATAGATGTTTTATGAAATGGTATATATGAGCTTGTGTTGTGCTGCTGCTGAAAGAACAACAGCAGTGTGGCAATCAAATGCCATTTCAAGGTTTATTTTCACATTTGACAAATGGAGCCACAATGGAAAATTTTGTTATTATAATTTAGGAAAATAATATTTCCACATTCCTTGTTTGGCTTGAACACACATGGATTCAGCAAGATAGTAGCAACATTTTGTTATGCCTTTGTGCAAGAAATTATTAAATAGACGTGAATGGAGCCTTATTCCTCCTCTGGTTTCTATGAAGACGACCAAGATATATGAATAAGAGGGATCCATACTCTCCCAAAAAAAACATTAATTAAACAATGAAAGAACAATTTTAAGATTCTTAAAACAATAGAGAAAAATACTTGTCATGCATGAGACAGAGACAGAGAGAGAAGTTACATTGAACTCCATATATGAAGCATGCATAGCAAGCCACTGAGCATCCATCATCTCAAAAGCTATACAGTACAGAACATCAAAGGCTTCTTCGTCTTCTGCAATTGCGTACACAAAAAGTTTCAGCAGTAAGAAATGTGGGGGCAGGTCGACATGGATATCCCAAACTATCCTAAATTTAAAAGCTTTTTAGTTTAAACTAATGAGAGAACTAGTTCATTACCTCCTAATAATTTAACAAAATTCATTCCTGGAAGACATCTTGGTTTTGCTGCAAAAGAAAAGAGAAAAAGCAATAAAGTATAAACATATCATTTTAGTTTTTGTTCGAGATGTTGTGGTATGAAAATATATGTGGATCAAAACTAGATGAGAAAATGGTATAACATACATGGGAGCAAGAAGTTCAAATTACAACATGATGTTAGATTAACCCTCAAGAAGACGGAAAAATGGACTAAAGAGTGAAAATTATTCCAAAGGAAAACAAATAGAGCATTTTTACACTTCTTAGAAATATTGCCAGACTTCAATTTAATTACCATTTGAATATACAAGTTCTTTAATTTAAATCATCAGCAAAATTACCAACTGCTGGTGAATTATAAAGTGATCTTAAAGAAGAGAGAATTCCGACTCAGCTAAATGCTATGAAGGCGGAGACGTTTATTTTGAATAACATATAGAGCTGAAGGTGATATGATCTTGTTTTCATGTCATGTCCTAGAGCCAATTTTTGCCACGATGCCCAAACACCTCTATCAAATCAAAAACATTGTATATGATATTATAAATATATATAATAAGGTACAAACCTGAGAATAAATCCAGCATCTGAATCAACATGAATGATATATTAATGCCAGCAACAGCAAATGGATATTCCCACGTTGCTCGCTTCCCACCTTGCTTGAACAATAACCTTTGAAAAGAAGCCTCCATTTCGAACTTTTATATAATTAGTAATAACCACACAATTTAAGTCATAAAGAATGTAAAGATGTATCCTAATGAAGATAAATGGGTTAAGAAAAAAAGATCAAAGCATCATAGAAATTAGAAAGAAGAAAGCAAGCATCCCAAGGATTCTTTGCAGAAGTCATACCGGATATGTCCTTGCGAAAAACAGCAAATTCTCGAGTGAAATAAAACCACAACCCCTAAGGAAAATAAGATCTCTCAATGAGATAGAATGCTTCTGAACATTAATACAGTGTGAGTTAAAAAAATCACAATAAATATAGTGCTATTTTTTTCAAAATATTCGTATACTTGTTCTTCTTTGTTATCTGCTCTACATTGCAAATTTTCTGCTCATAAGTACACAATTTTTATTTCAGATATTGCTTGAAAATATCAGAAGATGAAAATTTTCTATTTTGTTCGTGGAAGGGACGGTTGTGTTGAAGGATGATAGAACACCCAGAATCTTTAACCATCTGAATAAACTAAAAAACCAGCTTTTGTCAATTTAAGTTGACCAATAACCGGTAGCTTTTGCACAACTCTATACACAAATAGCCCAGTAGCATTTGAATACAAATCAGTGCTCAAAACAGAGCTACTAATGAAAATAAACCAACAACAGTAACAAAAGATTTTGAAAGCAAGGTCCTGTCATTTAATGAAATCCTAAAAGGTGATCAAATAACCTCAACACAAAAACTCATTTCAACAAAGGAAAACCGAATCGGCATCTAAACAATAATACATAAAAACATTGGAGTGAACTTTTTCCCTGTGACATTCAACCTCGTACACAAATTTACAAGGAAGGATAAGTCAAGACCTCATTTTCTGATATAGTTCCCGACCTTATAGAAACCTCAAGCCACCTTATATACTGTGTACATCCTACAATCTTATTTGAATAGGAGCAAGCAAGCCTAATTTAAACTAGCAATTAAAATAACAGAACTGTACCTGAAGTCAGTTGATGGATTATGACCTTGCCACCCCATATCTTTCCATTGCTCAGAGATCAAACCTTTAAGAGCAATATCTGGAAAGGCTGCACACCACAGTGCTCTAAGAGCCCCCTGTCAATGGGAGTGAATTATGAAATACAACAATGAATAAATCAATTCATATGCAGAACAGAACCATTCACTTTTATCGGATAAACCACATGCCAAAAAAAAAATAAAAAAAAAGGAAAGCCAAAGAAAAGTGGGAATGTACAGTAGCTAGTTAGTTAATCCTAAGACTGCAGATGAAACTTAACATTAGGAGGCAAAAAGATTGCAGCCTATAATTTTATAAAGAATTAAAAGACCATATTTATGTGATACTATTCTACTTAAAATACGTAACAAAACAAAGAGGGGGGGGGGGGGGGGGGGGGGGGGGGGTGGTGTTGGTAAAAATCACAGGGAAATAAGGCATACTGGGTAACTGGTTAAGACACATAAATGTACTTAATTTGTATTAAATGTCAAGCAAACCAGAGATCGAAGAAACAAATATGAAAGAAAGATTTAACAAGCATAGAGGACATACTTGATGATCAGGGCAAGTCTCATCAAAAGATACTTGCAATCGTTCTTGAAGTCTCTGAAGTCTCTGTTCCTGTTCCAAAGTAATAGAAATAAGTTCCGGCAGGACGATAAAATTCTGCCCGCATCAATGAAACAACCACCTTAGCTAGTAGCTACAGACTGTGAACCAAACTTTGTTATAATGTAAAACAAATTCCAAAAACTCTTTCAATGTGATTATTTCTGACTGAAGCCTTAAAAAATAAAAAAACACAATAGCCACAGTAGCAGAATGCAACGCATATAACTATATCATGAATCCCATGGCCTATATGAGTTATTTGTATAACACAGTTAAACATTAATATATATATATATATATAAACTGATAGAGAAAGAGAGAGAACTGAGAGATGCAAACACCTGGTACAAAATCAAATGCAACAAGCCAAGTTACTTGTTAACAAACCCCGCCACCCCTCCCCCCCCCCCCCCCCCCAAAAAAAAAAAATTACCTGAAGATGACTCAAAGGATAGTCAACAAATTTGTTACTGCCAGACCGTTTATTGCCTGAGCGGCTAAAGATTCCTCCGATCCATGATCGTGATCCAACCATAGCATTAGCTACAAACACCAAATAATGATTAGTTAATAAGAGAATTGGGTGAAATAGACTAATTTATATATTAGTTGTGGCACTAAATGAAGTTTAAGTGGTTCCAGAAAAAAGAGATTATTGTATTTTGAGCTTCATAGTAGTTAAAGAGAAGATACTTCCACAATGTATTTCAATATTTGCTTCAAGCTCTCCATATGGAGATGAACATGAGACATATGCGAAGTGCATTTATTTGTTCTTCTAAAGGACTTCCATGGTAATTGTGCGAAGCAAGTCAATACTATAAAAAACAAAATGAACAAATGAATTACAAAAATAACCTAAAGTAACTTAAAAGTGAACTTTGTATATGAAACTAAGGTTTTCTTATTTGGAATACTGAAACTCCTTTTCTATTATTACAAATAAAATTTTTTTTTTTTGACAAGTATTAAGCAACAAGTACTAAAATTTGGATTACTTGGTATAATATCAATTTTGGATAATAGATAACCCTTTTTTTTTTTTGCTTCTTTCGAGACTTCAGTATTCTAGGTTCTAAACGTACCCTTTGTTTTAAAATTAATCAACCAAGGGCTTGATTATGTATTAACTGATTTTCTCTAGAAACAATCACAAAACAGTCAGTTTCCCATTTTTAGAATCCAAATACTGATCTAATCACTCACTTCTAGTTATGACATCAACCAAATATTCAAAACTAAAAAACAAGCATGCTCTTTGTTATGCAACAAATGAATGCCTCTTAAATAGTCTAAACTGTGTTAACAGTTGCACTTGATCATATATCAAATCATCAACTATGAAACAAGCACATTAGGAGAACCATATACAGTTGTCCTATACAAGTAAAAGGGTAATTTATTATTAACTATCACTGGCCTTGCTACTGGACATAAACCATCAATACTAATGAAACTAATAATGTTGCATAGGAGTTTGAAATTCAAATTTGTACCACTACCAGCAATTAGTTCATTGATATCTTTTAAATGGTTTTGTAGCTCATGTCCTTAAGCTCATCAGAAAATACTGGCAGTTTGCGAATACTATTTATATAGGTAATATAAAAATAAAGGAATCAGCTTTATCAATTAAGTAGTTAATATAAATGCAATTTTTTGTTTAACATAGAAATTGATTGCTAAGCCAGTAATATTTCTTGGTTTATTATCACATATCTTTCCATCATAACTAACACTCATCTGCTGGGCTACCTTTACAACATAAATTGGCCGCAGACATACTAGAATCAACCTTCCTTTGTAGTCAACTTTAGGAAGGAAAAAAAAAGAAAAAAAGAAAGCAATTGTGCCAATGTGCCTCTGGATAAGAAGTCTAGTATGCAAAACAAATCCAAATATAAGAAACTAAACCACACATATTAAAATAAAAATATAATTGGAGTGAAAAGTTCTGTAAAAAGGTATCAAGAACAGCTACTCACTGAAACATTGAGTCAACTGTGATATTACATGAGCAGAATTATGTGGCCATGCCAAATCATCATCATCCTTCTTTTGTCTCCAATAAATTTCATCTTCATCAACCTAATTTAAAAACCATAATTGCGTCATTCAGGCTGCTAGACAAAATATGACCAGCTGCTAAAATCATACATAAAATTCTTTTCTTTCTTCTTCACAAAAAGAAAAAAGAAAAGGAAATAGAAAAAAGAAGGGCAGGATGACTTCATCAAATATTGCTGTATCAAGAATTGTTTAGAATTATAATTAGCAGCCATTTTGCATAAAAACATGCTTATGAACATTGTAGAAGCAAAGCAATTATTTGAGCACATGAACATGAAGCTGAATCGGTCATGGCAAAATTGTATGAGTTCTGAACTTCTGGTAGGCGAAGAGGAACCGAAAGCTTATTTATGAATTACATAATGTGATAAAAGAAAACACAGATATTGTCTGCATAAAACAACTAAAGCAATGGCAATAGTAATTATGTCAGCAAGAGTTATTTCAATAAAAGGATGCCATGGCATTATAAGATTTCACTAAAAAACACATGCTGGGCTAATGAACACTTGTAGGAGTTTCTATATCATTGAGCCTCTTAAAATTCAACATCTAGAAATTTAAGTACAATTGTATAAGACATGTTTGAAATACAAACATAAGTTAATATCATATAGGCACCACATTGTTAGTAAGAGGGAACTAAAGCAATGCAATATGCAAAAGAGTAAGCAATAAAAAGTTACCACTTGATTTTTTTACAAGAGATATACATTAATCACAAGGTACAAACACACTACAAGCTACCATCAAAGAATACATCATGAGGTAATAAATTTTTCTAGAAGGCTCTGAAATATCTACCATCCAATCCACAGTGTGATTAAACAACCAAACACATATGAACTACAAAACATTTATGAATCCCAGCAGTCATGTCAAGAAGAGAAACAAGAAATGACTAATATGGGTGTAAGTTTCACACCTAGAGTTAGTTCAATCATTGGCGTAAAAGCATTACCAAATCACAGAAAAAGACACACAGTGAGCCAATGGGTATTTCTAGGAGACTCTTAAGCATCCACCCTCCTGCAATTCATGTGAAGCTCATTGTGAGCTAATGAGCATTTCTAGGCAATTTTAATCATCTATCCACCTACAATTCATTACAGGCCCTATATTCCAAAAATAAGTGCACAGACATATTGCATACTATTTTGAGACAAAACCCAATATACACGCATAGAAGCAAGCTAAGACCAATGATTTGGTTCAATCAGAGATTGCAAAAGCATAATAGAAGTCCAGCAAAAGAAGTAGTGTGAATTTCTGGGAAAGGTTTGGGGGTTTACTCTGCGAAGAGAAGAGCAAGAAGGAATGCATTGTGTGCGCCTTAATCTCATCAGAGACAAAAATGGGAGGCATCAGATTCTCTCACCCTTTCTAACCGAAAGGAAAAGATAAAGCTATATGATAATGAAAAGTTACACAAATGATTGCACCAACCCATGCTTTGCTCCTATAATTCAACCTCCAATCATACCAATTTCTCCTCCCACATTTCTCTCTCTCCATCCAAGAGAGAGAGATGCCCAGAATTTGGAACCCATTTAGGAAAAAGATAGAAACTTTGAAACATCATATAAGAGGGGAAAGGGTTAACAGCGCAATCAAAGGGCTTTCTTCTACCATATTAATACAAGACAAAAAGAACAAATTCTTTATACCCACAAACATAAAGGTCGAGAGAGACACACAAAAGTGGTGGGGTGCTTAATGTTATAAAATAATATACATGTAGAAAAGAAAAAAGAGTACCTTTCAGCATATATTGGTGGAATAAGTGTGGGGTCTTTTTGAGGGACATGGTGGGACCAGAACCGGTACAGAGAAAGGAAGGAGGAGGAGGAAGAGGAAGAAGGAGGAGGAGGAGGAGGAGGAAGAGAATGGGTTTTGGTTGAAGCTTAAGCATGTCATGTGGGTTATTTGGGTTGGGAACGAAATTGGGCAAAAGGGGGTGATGAAATTGTGTCGTCCTCCCTCATTGCCTTCCAATTCCAGCCGTAAAGCCCGCCTAATCCGTAGGTGGCTCCCTATTTCTCTCTATTCCTTCCACTTTTAACCATCGACATTGGAGTCGCGAATCACACTCCGTCATCTTCACTCTATATATGTTGAAATATAAATAAATAAATGTAAAGAGTGCAAAAAATAAAAAAAATCCTCCTCAACCATTTTAAAATTGCAAAAAATTCTTCTAGATTATTACCAATTGTAAACTAAACCCTAAAAAAAAAAAAAAAAAAAAAAAAAAAAAAAAAAACCTTAAAAATTGCCCCCTACATGGACAACGTTTTTCGGCATCAGATGGTCAAAATGACCCAAATGACCCTACTTTTTAATTTATATAAAAACATATAAAATATCCTAAATGTCAAATAACTAAAACACCCTTATGGGCCATCTTGCAACTAAATAATAGTTTAGGGAGATTTTTTGCACTTTTACCTAAGAGTAATGATACTCTATCAGATCAAAATAGCCGAAATGTAGACCTACTCTGATGTGGCAATACCATGTCCCTTCTTATTTATGCCTAAAATCTTTTTTATCTTTATCACTTTCTTTCTTTCTTTCTTTCCTTTGCCCTTTTTCATCTATAGTATCTCTATCTCCATCTATATCTCTAATTTTTTTAGAATAAAGTACACCAAGGATGGAGATGATGGGTTACCCATGGTCAAAGTAAGAAGGTTGTGACCCAACTTACCCATCTCCATGGAGACCCAACATACCCATCTCCGTCGGACCTGTAATTGACCGTTCTGATTGTCGAATAGGAACGCATTTAAAACCATTACTGTCAGATCCAATCTTCAACAATCAAATAAAATCATCAAGAATAACATTATATCATCAGTGACTATAATCTTCATATACAATCCTCCACCACCACCATTATCAAAACCTAATTTAATAAATCTCGTAAAAATAAAGAGTACCCATCAAATCCAAAGAAAATGGTTTACTACTCAAATAGAAGATGATTTTTGGTGATATAATTCCCATTGCTATAAGGGTTTTGTGCTTTTAGATTGTAACCCTTCGTTTTCTGTTAATTAATGAAATCTTTCTGACTTGCCTCAAATAAAAAAACATAAGAAAAGAACTCAGTGAAGAAATCTTAATTTTCTTCCCCAACAAATCATCTTATTACTCTATTTTTCTCCGATTCTGACTCTCTTCGACTTCGCATCTCTCTTACATATGCCGTAATCTCTAAGCTTTATCTTGTTTTTGTAAAGGAAATTGGGTCTGTGCAATGCTGTACTCAGTGTCCTCATGTAGATTTTGTGAAGAAAAATGGGTCTGTGTCATGGTTTACTGAGCAATGCTTTACAGTTCTTCTTCCAAGAAAAACAGACAATAGGAAAGCAAAGAGGATGTGGGGGTAGAGAGGGGGAAACAAAGTAAACAAAGAGATGGAGGAGAGAAATTCACTAATGTTACGTTTGGTGTGCAGGAATGGAATAGAATGGAATGCCCATTCCAACAATTCTTTTGTTTGGTACGCAACTTAAAGTGGGAATGGGCGTTCCATTGAAATGAAAATCCATTCTTGGGAATGAAAATCCATTCCACAAGTAAACCTATGTAATGGTTATTCCATTCCTAAGTAATTTATTTTAAAAAATCGACTTCCCAAAACACCCTCATTTTCCAAGTCTAAAAATCACTATTACCTTCCACCACAATCATCTCCGCCTTTTACCACCACCACCACCACCACTGCCTTCCACCACCACCGACTTTCACTTTCGCCTACCACTTTCCACCCTCGCCACCGCCACCGCTACCGCCACCATTTACCGCAACTACCACCGCCGCCTTTCACCACCGCTACCACTACCGCCACCACCACCACCACCTTCCACTACCACCACTGCCATTGCTTTTCACCACCTTCCACCACCACTGCCGCCATCGCCTTTCACCACTGCCACCATCTTCCATCACCACTACTACCGCCTTTCACTACCACCACCACCTTCCACCACCGCCACTTTTCACTACCACCGCCACCGCCACCGCCACCGCCACCGCCACCACCAGCTTCCACCATTGCCTTCCACCACCTTCTACCACTGCCACCACCACCTTTCACCATCGCCGCCACCATTACCTTCCGCCACCGCCACCTTTCGCCATCGCCCACCACTTTCTACAACCACCTTCCACCACCACCACCACCACCACCACCACCACCACCTTTCACCACCGTCTTCCACCATTACTATAGTCATACCACTATCTCCTTCCACCACACTACTGTCACTGCCTTTTACCAAAACCACTGCCACCTTCCACTACCACTGCTACCACCAATTTCCACCATTGCCACCACCGCCGCCTTCCAAGACCACTACCTACACTACCACCGCTTTCAACCATCCACCACCACCACTGCTACCATTTATTTTTAAAAATATATTAAAGAATATCATTTTGTTAATTTAATTTAATTTATTTGTTACTAAGAAGGATATTTTGGAGAATTCAATTAGAAATTTATTCTATTCTAAATTTTAAATTGGTCTAACCAAACACTAGAATGATTATTATCATTCAATTCCTGCACATTTCATATTTACAACTAAACAATAGAATGAGAATGACCATTCCATTCCATTCACATTCTCATTCTATTCTCACTTGCATTCCATTCCATTCCTGTACACCAAACGTAGCATAAAAGAACGAATAAATTTGAGAGAGAAAAACCGTAGTTAGATGGGAAGGTGAGGATTCTGAAACGATGGTTTTTGGGGGTAAAATAGCCTTTTAATATGGTTGCACTATTGTTTTACAACTCAGAAATTGAGTAAACGACATGTCAACGCCACGTAATATTCGAACAACTTTTCAGTCCAAAAAATCGGACAGAGTATCATTACCCTTTACCTAATAATAATAATAAAAATAGTAGTGGTGGTTAAAAAAACCTATTAATCTTATTATTATTAATATTATTAGTTATTGTTATTATTACTATTATTATTATTGTTACTGTTTTATTATTATTATTAGGCAAAAGTACAAAAAAACACCCATAAACTATTGGTTAGTTGCAAGATGCCCCTAAAGGGTATTATGGATATTTTATATTTGTGATATTTTATATAAATAATAGTTGGTAGTATTTAGGTAATTTTGATCATTTGGACGCGAAAATATGATGTCCGTAGGGGTCAAATTGTAAGTTTATAATAGGTTAGGATGTGATTTATAACCAACTATAGTCGAGGGGGTTTATTTCAATTTTGAAATAGTTCAAAGGGTTTTATACGCTTTTGCCAAAAATAAAAATTAAATAAATAATAATATCTTCACTCTATATTATTACTACTATAAAATAAAAAGTCATATCTAGAAGTCCCCGGTTTTTGTTAAACCCGACAATTGTAAATTGTTGAAATAAACATTTTAAGTTAAAAAAATATATATTTAAATTTAATATTAATTTAGAGCATTTAATAGTTAATAGCTAATACATTTGATAAACTAATTATTAAAGTTGCAAAAAAAAAAAAAAAAAAAATCAATCTTTTTCTTCTTTGTGGATGTCGATTTCTTGTGCAATGGATGACGGTTTCTTACAACAAATGAGTGGTTTTTCTTTATCTTATGAGGAATGTGACCCAATTGATGTTGGTGTTGAAGATATTACCGAAGGTGGTGTTGATTTTGGGTGTTGCAGTTTGATTGGTAAGGTAATGTGTTTGGATATAAGTCTCTTAATACATTTGATACTAGGAAGGTGATGGGATTTCTTTGGGGCCTTTCTAAAGAATTTGCAAGTTAACAAGATTTCTGATCAGAGAGTATTCAGTTTGTTTTACCACGTAGGGAAGATAAACAGTGTTAACAAGATTTCTCATGGATGTCCAAAAACCTATCCGCAAGTATGACATATTGGACTCTATTCACATTTCAGATTGTCCGTCCATTGGAATTTCAATTTGAATCCACTGTGAAAAAGATATATCATTATTACATTAATGAAACATCAATAAAAAAAAAATTGCACTATTTTAAATAAACAAAATCTCACGAGCTTTAGTAAAAAATATCATTAGGAACAAAATAGAGATTAGTAAAAATAAGATCTAAAATTTGTCATTTAAAAAGTGACAACTAAAAATATTAACACATATCATTGTTGTTATTGGCAATTTTACTATCTTAGTTTCGCAAAATTTTAATTTTCTTTTTTCTCAATTCTCGACAGACTTGTCCATGGAGATGAGCATGTAATTTTAGATGTTTTTCTTATTAACCATAACAAAAATGTCTCGCAATAAAGGTTCATATATCTATATTAAAAATCTTATACTCGTTGATATTATACATGTGTATATTTATTTATTATATATGTGTACATATATATTTAAGTAAATGTGGTAATGAAATGTTACAGGAACTACCAATATAATGGACTTACACTTTTATTTGAGATTTCAGAAGTGATGCTAAAAAAGGATTAATGAAAATTTATGAAATTAATAAATGTAAGTTGTAGTTATTTCCAAACTCATTATAATTGAGGATAGTAAATATCTTTTTGTGGCTATCTCTCTATCTCAATTTTTTCTCTCTTTAAAATATCTTTTTGTTGCTGCCCATTTATATCTCTCTAATTTTTTTATTTATTATTTTTTTATCTCTCTCTCTAATTTTTTTTATCTCTCTCTCTCTATAATATGTCTTTGTGACCGTCTCTCTATCTTAATATTTTCTCTCTCTAAAATATCTTTTTATGGCTGCCCATATATATATCTAAATTTATTTTTTCTCTATCTAAAATATCTTTTTGTTCTAAAATTTTTCTCTCTATCATATCTCTTTGTGGCCGTCTCTTTGCCTATATATATATATGTCTATTTTTTATTTATTTATTTATTTTATTATTATTATTTTTATATCTATCTATCTATCTCTCTAAATTTGTTTCTCTCTATAAAATATTTTTGTTATAAATTTTTTTTCTCTCTCTATAATATCTCTTTGTGGCTGTCTCTATCTCAATTTTTTCTCTCTAAAATATCTTTCTTAATTTTTTCTCTCTGAAATATTTTGTGGCCGGCCGCCCATATTTTTTTTATCTCTCTCTCTCTCATTTTTTTTTTCTCTCTCTAAAAATTATGCGCTACCAATATTATCTCTAAAAATTCCATTGCTGCCAATTTTATCTCTCTAATTTTATTTCTCTCTCT